TGCAACCATGCTGTGCTTCCCCCTCCTTCGTTCATTTCTGAATCGCCCTTCCTTTTTTTAATCCATTTAATTTCTTCTATTTTCAAAGAAGCCTAAGTGAACCCCCCGAATGACTCCCAGGTTTATTCATCCAATACACATGTATTGGCGCATCCATGTGCCAGAAACTGTTCAAGATGCCAGGGATACAGTGGGCATGGTGGAGCCCATCAGAATTAGATGTTCTGCCGGGAGCAGCAGCTATGTTTGTGGTAGCACTAACCTCAGCAAGTGGTCCCTGCCAGACTGCTGATAAACTCTGAGCTGAGAGCACAGCTTCTTCAGTTCAGTGCATGCATGGGGCTGAGCCATGACTATTTTACATCAAGCTTGACAACCTATTTATGCATTTTTGTTGGGTTTCACTTATCTGGTTAACCCTGACAAGATAGCGATCTCTGACTGTCCTCAGTATTTACATCTTTATGTAGACATATCTACAATGAAATGAAAATTTGCTTGTTGGAAATAATTGCAGTTTCAAAAGCACCCACTTTGCAGGTGATTCACCCCTCAAGAGCTTAAGCACTCAGTAATCCCTGACCTAATTCCCTCAAAAAGGCGCCAACTGTATTCTCAAGACCCTCAGCTTCTTCACCTGACAGAGAGAAAGTTGTAAGTGAAAAGCGAGATACATCCTGCAGACACCTTCCCTTCTTTTTCACTTTAAATATCAAACAAGTCCAAAGACAAGTTTACTGTGGTAAGTCAAAACGTGTCTTTTGCTCAGTTGCCGTGTGTGAATTCTTTCTTTTCTTGCTGAAACTCGCCACAGCAAGTCCAAACTTGCACAGCACCTGCTGAGCACCAGCTGTTCTTAAGGAAACTCCTCTGATAAGACAAACTGCCTTAGAAAGCCAATTTCTTTTTAACAACTTCCGGTCTCAGCGGCACAGGTTCCTCCTTAATCGGCTGAAGCCTAATCTAAAGCATCAGAGGTGTCTGCTCCCACCCTAACACTGGGGTATTTGCAGCCGTCAAGTGCGTGGCACCATTTGGCAGATAATCAGGGCTCTGCAACTCTTTTGATACATTAACTCCCTTTCTTCCCAGTCCTCTATGCTGTTGGCTGTTCTCACGACCTATCCCTCCTGTACAGGGGCCTGAGAGACGGGGCAACGCGCATCTCCTCTGTAGTTGTTGTTGTTTAGTCGCTAAGTTGTGTCTGACTCTTTGCGACCTCACAAAGTGTAGTCCGCCAGGCTCCTCTGTCCATGGGATTCCTCAGGCAAGAACACTGGAGTGGGTTGCCGTTTCCTTCTCCAGGGGATCTTCCTGACCCAGGGATTGAACCTCTGTCTCCTGCATTGCAGGCAGATTCTTTACCACTGAGCCACCAGGGAAGCCCATCGTCTCTAGAGTATATGAACAAAGAGGACTTCACCACTTACAGACACACCTAACGTCGTCTCAACCAGGTGAGATGAGCTGGGAGTCTGATGGCTGAGTAAGTCGGGTGTAGTTGTTTTATCTTTTCATGACAACAAATAGCAAATATCCAGTGGATTTGCAGAACCACATGTTTGGGAAGTGAGGTCTAACATCCACTCCTTTGATGTGACGCTCTCTCTAAATAGGTCCTTTCAGATTTCCATATGAATGTGGGCTCTAATGGGCTTCCCAGGTGGCACCAGTGGTAAAGAACCCGCCTGCCCATGCAGGAGACTTAAGAGATGCAGGTTCGATCCCTGGGTGGGGAAGATGCCCTGGAGGAGGGCATGGCAACCCACTGCAGTATCCTAGCCTGGAGAACCCCATGGACAGAGGAGCCTGGTGGGCTACAGAGTCAGACACGAACCATGTGACTTCACACAGCACAGGGGCTGCAATGCAGATCCCCCCGGATCAGTGGCTCGGAACTGAAGGCATGTACAGTCTGATCTGACTGCTCCAAGCTGATGGGCAACTCTGCTTCCCAGAGGCACTCGGAGGCCTGGGTTTCTTCCCCACCCCAGGCTCTGGCATCCAATGAGCCCTGCGCATTCACCTGCTTGGCTAGGGTGCACCTCCGGGTTCCAGCTGGTGCGAAGGGGAGAGCCGGAGGAGACCCATCAGCTCCCAGCTCTGGGTGAGAATCAGCCATTTGACCCCATGGATTCAGAACAGCAAGAAGGGCTCAGGAATGCAGTCCCCCTCGAGGCAGGCAGTCGCCCAGCTGCGACTGTGCTTAGCCGCGGAAGATGCTGGTGGACGAGCAGTACTGAGCAAAACAGTCTTCTCTTCCTTCTACTTTAGAGAAGCAGGGTGAAGCTTTTATAAAGTTATTTTAAGAATTCCAATAGGAAAAAAAGTTCAGATTTCCATCAAAATGCTACAGAATTGTATTTATTTAAGAACTGAAATAAACATGAGATCATTCGGTTATCAGGTGACTTGCCCCCAGCAGCTGCTGTTTCACCGACTTGTTGAGCGTCAGTCCCCCCTAGGAGGGCAGGGACTTTGTTCAGTGTTGGTCCCAGCAGCAGGAGTGGTTCCTGACACATAGGAGGCGTTAATGAGTGAGCATTGAGTCACTCAGTCGTGTCCGACTTTTTGTGACCCCATGGACTGTAGCCCACCAGGCTCCTCTGTCCATGGGATCCTCCAGGCAAGAATATTGGAGTGGGTTGCCATTTCCTTCTCCAGGAAGAGTTACATCTCGGTTAAATGAATAAATAGGTAGATGGAACAGAAACAGAGCAACATGTAGGGATTTTAAATTATTTTGTGCCTTTATATCTTTCTCGGCTGAGTCGGGCTGCCAAGTGGCTCAGTGGTAAAGAATCTGCCTGCCAATGCAGGAGACGTGGGTTCAATCCCTGGATCAGAAAGATCCCCTGGAGAAGGAAATGGCAACCCACTCCAGTATTGTTGCCTGGGAAATCCCAGGGACAGAGGAGCCTGGTGGGCTACAGTCCATGGGATCACAAGGAGTCAGACAGGACTTAGCAGCTGAGCACACAACACTGCTGAGTTACCAGGGATGGTAGAACATTTCTGACGGACAATTTCTAATTATAACAAGATTCCAGGCTCTGAATGACTCCTGGTGTTTATACTTCTATCTTAAAGAAAAAGCTATGAGCCTGACTCATGTTGTGCCTTGGATTTTTTTTTTTTAAACCAAAGCACTGTGTTCCACTTGACTCCCAGATGTGAAAAGTGCATGGTGTGACATTCAAAACACCTGCAAAGTGAAGTACCTTAATTTGCTGAGATACTAAATGGTCTATGATCAAGATCCAGCCAGTATTTCCCTCCAAAGGTAAAAATCAAATATTTTTCTATCATTAAAACCAAAAGAGTAATTCAAATTAGAGTGTCCTGTCACTTGTGAATTGGAAGGAAATTCTTACAGAGTGGGAAATTCATTCCACCAAATATAGCAGTCAATATAATTAAAATAAATTCAGTGGCCGTTTTTAAAAAAAGATTATAAAATTGAATTTATTGAGTTTCACACAAGATGCACTTATAAAATTAGTACTGAATGCCATTTTAACAGAAGAAATGAACATCAGTCCAAACTCCCAATATATTCTGCAAAAAAAAAACCTTCCAAAAATGACAGCATAGTTACAGAGTCATTCAAGCTGAACTGAAAGATATACCCAAATCATATTTTTGCTCTGATCGGGGCTTTGTTTGGCCAAGTTTTCCCCAAGCTATGCTCATTCCTAGTGGAACTGTTCCTTACGGTGGTGAAGAGAAGGTGGAAAAACAATAATAATAACAATAATAATTCTAACATGGGCCTTCACTGAAACATACACAAAGCAATTTCAAGTCTTTCATTTTTAACTTAAGTACTTCCTGGTTTCCCAAAAGCATTTCTGTATTATTTTCCTTTTTTTAACCTTATGTGAACAATCATCTTCAGATTCCTTTAGCTTTAATGTAACACATTAAAATTCGCTTTTATTTTTCAGAGGAACGAGTCAAAGCATTAAAGCTTACTTTACGTTTCACCCAGGAGATAAGACAAATCAGCTAAAATTTACCTTCTGCCATATCACATGCGGGAAATATCAGCACAAGAGCTGAACTTCAAATGAAAACATCAAAGGAAGTTAACAGTTAACGGCAACATCTGGACATTCTGAAATTAGACCCTGGACAATTTTTTATAAAAATGCAGAAAGGCTCCTCAAGATAAAATGTGGTGGAAAAGAACCTGTCCTGTGATGTGGGCCATGGACGGGTAATTAAGCAGAAATGGAATCTTGATCTCAAACAAAACCAAGAAGCACCATTTGGCTGCTCCCCACACAAGCCCCTGTCCACACCTGGATGGCCACCCGCATGCCTCAGACGTCTCCTTTCCTTTTCCCCACACAGCCTGCCCACCCTCGCGCACACACGCCCGGGGGCCCACCTCCCCAGAGCACAGACCGGTGCCAGGCGTGGGCGCACAGACAGACGGACAGGCAGACGGGCAGACCAGCTCTTTCTAGGAGCCCGAGCAAGACGATGCCCCACCCACACAAGAGTGACTTTAAAACCGTGACTTGGAAAACCCAGTTGAAGTTGATACCTTTCAGTTCTGTCCTCTGACAGTTCCTCAGCCTGTTCGATACCAAACCCTTTTAATGGTAACAACTTAGGAAGCAATCAGTTTGAAAGGGAAACCAGTTAACTCCACCTGAAAATGAACACTGCTCTGCTTTTTTCAGAATAAAAAGTGCCTTTCTGTCAGGGAATTCCTATTTTATCCACTGCAATTACACGAAATACAGCTCACGTTTGGCTATGAAGAGTAAAATGGAAAAACTAGGAAACATTTTCTCAGTGGTGCAAACCTTCATTCATTCATATTTTTTAAATAAACTGGCTTAAGGGTTTTTTTTTTCCTTTCCCTCTATAAAATGCTACTATCCATCATGTCTCATTTAAGGTAGCTTTTTATTCTGATTAATTCAGATACATCTTCGAAGAGTATTCTGGTGGTAAGAACATTTACCTTAAGTTTAATTATTGTTATCTTTTTTTTAATGCTTTGGCAGATGAAGTTTGAAAACGGTGGGAACAGAATGAGGCTGGAAACGGAGCGTCACGTGAGAGCTCCGCCGTCTCCAGCGCACCCCGACGCCGAGGACTCGAGGTGGAGTCCCGTCCCCTGGAAGCACAGGCTGACGGAGTGGAGGGGGTGGTGGGGTCGCTCCCGCGGGGCCCAGGGTGACTCTGCGGCTTCCCCGAGCAGGAGGGACCTTTCCTGAGCCACCCATCTGTCCAAGGGCTCGAGACTGGAGGTCGCTGATGGCTGCCCCGTGTGACCTGACCTTTAGCCAGACCACGCCACTGGAGAAGGACACTAAGATTTGCCTTCCGTCAATAAGTTAAGTTCTTAAATAAATATTTAAGTGCCGTCTTCAGCATCTGTCCGTCTGGGGGGCACTGCCTCTGGGGCCCCGAGACTGCATCTTTGGCACCCGGAGCTCCGGAATTCAGTCAATTCGGTTTCCACAAATTGTGAACCTGTCTATCTCTAACAGATCTTTCTTTGAGGACCTGTGTTTCAGTTCTGAGTTCTCCTGTGTTATGTCCTTCTCGTCGCCGTCCGGGGTGGTCAGAAGCTGATCAGAGCTGCTCGTCACGAGCAGCGGGATCGCATTTTCCTTCTGATGAGCGGGCTGGCTGGTGACTGAGGCAGACAGGGTTTCTTCTGTGGAAAAACAGACCCGTGTAATTAGAAAAGGGTGTCCTGCCAGCCTATCATAACCACAAGCTTTCCAGTATAGTGGGACTGAAAAAAATGTCGACTGTCCATGCTTTCAGATAAAGCAAACAATAGCCTAATATTAACAGCATGCTGTATAAACCCTATGGCTTATAATGAAACTTAAGAGGCCATACTATTTCTGTTTCCTCATCCAAAATTGTATATGGCAGTGTAATGTGGACCACGGCCCACAAATAGCACTGTTGCCAGATTTGGGGAAAATCAGAAGTCCTGTGTCACAACCATCTTCGTGCACACACAGGTCCTAGGAAGACCGCCGCCAGGCCCAAACCCTAACACTGCCCCCCCCAAGACAGCAGGGCTGAGCAGACGCGAGACCACTGCAACTATCGTGTGTGGTCACGGTAGTTAGACAGAGTTGGCATCTTACTTCCAGGAAGTTCAGATGAGAGATTAAAAACACACCCATGAACGAATCCCCAAATGGCCAAGGGCATCCCGAGTCTGGGGGCCTGGACACACCAACCTGCGAACTGTACACTCAGCCCGTACCTGAGCAGTGTCATCGGGGTAAGAATGACACCCCACAGAGGGTACCTGGTTAAGACGGAGGGCCGGACTGGCGCAGACACACACACACACACACACACACACACGGCCACAGAGGGTACCTGGTTAAGACGGACACACACACACACACACACACACACACACACACACACACACAGGCAGGAGCGCGGCGCCCTGCTCGGCAGACACACACACACACACACACACACACACACAGGCAGGAGTGCGGCGCCCTGCTCGACACCCCCGCCCACTCAGCCTCCCCTCCGGCTCACCGCCTGCTGGACACTGACCCCGGCTCTCTGCTCTGCCACCCCATTGTGGAGCCCCCGCCGGCCCCTCTCCTGACGAGCCCCCCGCTCCGGGTCTTACTTCTTCTCGTGCTTCGGGACTCAGTCCAGGCCTCGCCACCTCCGGGAAGGGCCCTCTCCCATCCCCTCTGTAACCCACTGCTCTCTGATCTGGGTCAGCCACTTCTGCTGGCTCCTCTGTCAGTCTGTGAGGCCCCAAAGCTTCATTTATTTACCTCTGTAGCTCCAGGGTCTCATATACCACCTGGCACAGCCACGCAAGAGTGAATCGTTTAAACTGAAAGTCATCTGAACAAATACTCATGTGGACGTGGAACCGCCGTCCACTGACAACAATTAAGCCCCAGTCCTTCCTCCAGTCTTCCAGGCCAGAAATCCTGGGGCCACCCTTAACCCCTCTCTGCAGGGCATGACCTCCCAGCGAGCCCTGTGCTCCTGGTGATGCACCCAGAATCTGGTCTCCCGCTGCGCCCACGCTGACCTGTGCACAGAGCCGGGCATCTCTCCGCTGGCCTCCACTCCTGGGCTCACCTTCCTGAGTCTATTTTCCACAGAGACCTAGACTGATCCCGCATCCCGGCCCCCCTCTCTCCAACGGCCCCTCCCCACATGGCAGAAGCCAAGATGCTCACGGGAGCAGCGGGAGTCCTGGGCGGCCTCTCGGGACCCCTGGTCCCTCTCCCCCGGGGGGCGCTCTCGGGTCCCCCCACTGTCCCTCTACCCCGGGGTCGGGACTCTCAGGCCCCCTACCAGTCCCTCTCTCCAGGGGTCGGAGCTCTCGGGTCCCCCCACTGTCCCTCTCCCCTGGGGTCGGGGCTCTTGACCCCCCCACCCTGTCCCTCTGCCCTGGGGTCGGGGCTCTTGGGTCCCCCCCCGGCCCCTCTCCCCTGGGGTCGGGGTCCTCTGGCCTCCCTGGCTCTCGCTGCCCCTGCCCGAGGCCCCTGCGCGTTCACCCACACCCCAGCTCCTCACAGCTGGGGAGCCCCCACCCGCTGTGTCCTCCCGCCAGCCTGCTTCGCTCTCCCCCACGACACAGTGCACGTCCACCTGCTCTCCCCCTGACCGTCTTGTCTGAGGCCCAGCTGTCCCTGGACCCGCCAGGTACCAGGCGCCCGATGACCATCTACTGAACAGGGACAGACAGAAAAAGGCTCAGAGCTCTTCCCCAGGGGCGTCTGCGATGAGATCTCAGCATGAACATGAATAATCCAAGGCTGAGCAAAGCAAAATCCGGTCTTGAAAGCGCTGCTCAACAGTGATTTTTTTTATCACGGAGCGTTCAGACAACTGATTCTCTAGGTGACAATTCGCAGAGGTGACGAACAGAGAGCCACACCTACCTTGGGAGGCTTTGCACTTGTTCTGTGATTTACTGGGCGGTTTGCCGGGAGCGCTGGCCGGGGGCGGGTGGAACAGCTTCTCTTCCATCTTGGCCTCCTTCACGTACTGGCAGGATTTCCCCAGAAGGACGATGCTGTTCAAGACTTTCAGGGAGACCAACCTAGAACCGGGAGACACCGCCACGCGCTGCGGGGGTCCGTCGCTGCACACGGGGGCCAGCCGCCCCCAGCTCGGCCGGGGAGGAGGGGAGGAGGGGAGGGGAGGGCGGGCCACCCGGTGCCACAGGGCCAGCTCCTCGTGCACACCCGAGTTTCTGGAGACTTCTTCACCCCAGGGAAGCAGTTTTGAAAAACCCCTTGGTTTTTATCATAAGAACTAATAATACTTAGAAGTTTTACCTGGTGCTAAACTGTCTAAGTGACATCTGGTGTATGACCCTGCCGTCGTCTGTGCTCGGAATGCACATCTATTTGTACCTCTTGCTCTCCAGAATCGGGGTGTCTTTAAGAAGGTGGTGGGGGACTGGTGCTCACAGCCAGAGTAGAGGCTCTGGGGGCTGAGCGTGTGGGTTCAAGCCCTGACTCCACTGCTCAGCACCTGTGTGTATCTCAGTGAATTCCCTACCAAGTTTGTCCAGAAAGGAGGTGATTTTAGTAAGATGCTCAGAACAGTGCTGCTGCTGTGGCTAAGTCGCCTCAGTCGTGACTGACTGTGCGACCCCATAGATGGCAGCCCACCAGGCTCCCCCGTCCCTGGGATTCTCCAGGAAAGAACACTGGAGTGGGGTGCCATTGCCTTCTCCGCAGAACAGTGCCGGGCACACAGAAATGCCCGCCAGTTCTGCTGTATGACCACCGCTGCTGTAAATGACAATGCATCCGGAACATTATTCTGACCCACTGGTGGCTCCTCAGTGCACTGGCCGTGATGGGCTTGCAAAGCTTCTCTGTGCCGGCCATCATATAACAGAGCCCCCCAAAGCCTTCAATTTCTGGTTACTTACATTACTTCTAACATGTTGCTTCTATTAAAAAGTTTCTGCTTAAGAAAACTACGTTATATCTCTGTTTCCTTAAGATAAACTCCAAAATATCTATAATTACAGAAGTGGGATTTCTGGACCAAAAGGTACATAGTATTTTTAGGCATTTGAAATGAATCTGGCAAAAATTCTGAAAAAAATAAAACAAAGCTCTTCACACTGATGTGTGTGTGGTGCGTGGAGTGGACTCAGTGGAGTCCGACTCTTTGCGACCCCACGGACTGCAGCTCCTCTGTCCCTGGGATTTCCCAGGCAGGAATACTGGAGTGGGCTGCCATTTCCTTCTCCAGGGGATCTTCCCCACCCAGGGATCAAACTCATTAATAATATCTCATGTATTGCAGGCAGATTTTTACTGTCTGACAAGGCCTAGAGTGTGCTTAATAATTAGTGTGGCAAACATAACTTAAGCCTTAAATAAGGAGGACTATAAGTAAGTGATTTCATTAAAAGATTAAAATACAATCTAAATGGAAGCAACCTAGATGCCCATCAGCAGATGAATGGATAAGGAAGCTGTGGTACATATACACAATGGGAATATTACTCAGCCATTAAAAAGAATACATTTGAATCAGTTCTAATGAGATGGATGAAACTGGAGCCCATTATACAGAGTGAACTAAGCTAGAAAGATAAAGATCAATACAGTATACTAACACATATACATGGAATTTAAAAAGATGGTAATGATAACCCTATATGCAAAACAGAAAAAGAGACACAGATGTACAGAAGAGATTTTTAGACTCTGTGGGAGAAGGCGAGGGTGGGATGTTCAGAGAGAACAGCATTGAAACAAGTATACTATCAAGGGTGAAACAGATCACCAGCCCAGGTTGGATGCATGAGACAAGTGCTCAGGGCTGGTGCACTGGGAAGACCCAGAGGGATGGGATGGGGAGGGAGGTGAGAGGGGGGTATCGGGATGGGGAACACATGTAAGTCCATGACTGATTCATGTCAATGTATGGCAAAAACCACTACAATATTGTAAAGTAATTAGCCTCCAACTAATAAAAATAAATGGGAAAAAAAGAAAAAAAAAATAAAGTGCCATCAATACTTCTGCCAAATAGCATATTTAATTTAGCCAGAATTTAACTGAGTCACAAACACATTTGGGGATACATGCTGGAGATCCCAGGACAGCTGTGGCCTGGTTGCTGTTAACTTCTACTACATTGTACATTTATGTGTGTATGTGTGTGTGTGTGTGTTAAGTCACTTCAGTCATGTCTGACTCTGTGTGACCCTGTGGACTGTAGCCCGCCATGTTCCTCTGTCCAGGGGATTCTCCAGGCAAGAATGCTGCAGTGGATCATGCATGCCCTCCTCTAGGGGAATCTTCTCGCCTCAGGGATCAAACCCGCATCACTTTACATCTCCTGCACTGGCAGGCAGGTTCTTTACCACTAGCGCCACCTGGGAAGCCCTCTGCCTTTACACTTTACTGTATACCCAAAAACATATTAAAGAACAGTTAATCTTACCCCAAATAGAAGAGGATGACGCAGGCATAAGACAGGATTCCTTGCACCTTAATTGAACTTGTTACCACTCTGATGAGCTAGCCAGAAACAAACCAAAACAACAAATCAAATGAACAAAACACACAAAGTTATCAGTTAACATTTGAAAGAAGGTTTCTCCATGCCGACTTTAACATTCTGGGCACATTCCTGTGGCTTTTGTCTAAACCCAAGAAAGCAGTTATAGGATGTGTCAATTCATATCAGAACCTGGCTGCTTGTGGAACCTTTTATGGTAGATAGAGATTCTTTGGGCAAATCTAAAATGCCCACTAATGCCAAATTCAACCTCTGACTCTAAAGTCAGACACTGCACCCAGCTCATGACTGACATTTTTACCTGTACTTAACAGAGATGCAAATGAGTTGGCTTTAAAAATAAAGATTATTCTGGGAACTATAAACGGACTCATCTTGCTGCATGCATCCCCACCAGGGCTGGAAGCACTTGGTGAGTGTGCCCCTCATTCTTGCATTTTCTGTCCTTTGTTCTTTGACTCTCTGAGAACTCCAAGGACTTGCTGAGAGAGACAGAAAAGGGAACCCTTAGGGGGCATGTACTGTTTAACAAAACTAAATATTGTTAGGAAACTAATTTACTCACAGGCCAGAAAATTTCTGTCTCTTTTGGAGAGTTATGGTTGCTAAGTTGCTTCAGTCGTGTCTGACTCTGCACCCTATGGACTGCAGCCCGCCAGGCTCCTCTGTCCATGGGATTCTCCAGGCAAGAATCCTGGAGTGGGCTGCCATGCCCTCCTCCAGGGGATCTTATATTTTCTTACTTATCTCACAGAAACATAAGAGTAACAGCGCTATCTCTGGAAATTTGCTGAATAAATCTGATGGAATCTGTCACTGAAAAATATTTACACATGTTATAGGTTCACCTTAATGTACCCCTATATTAGGGTATGTGGGGGCTGCTATGTGAAAACAGAAAATCAGGGAAAATAACCAACCTTGTCCAGTAATGTCATCCTCAAATGGAAGAGTCTCAGTTAAATAAATAACACAAGAACATTTCAGATGATATTTTAAAAATGCTTTTAATAAAAGAGCAATTGGGAGGAGCTAGACAGAATGAACTGCCATATATATCCAATAAAATCTCTGTCTCAGTCTCTAATGGGGAAATGACCTGTCATCAAACATTTGTGATGAAAAGTAATATGGTTCTAGAATTTTGTTCAGAAATATGAAAAGTAAAGAGGTTTCAATGACTTCATTTTTACCCAGTATATCATTAGGTAAGTTTAAGATACATATGTCCCAAGTCTAATTTCCTTGAGACCTTGATTTGATTTACTTTTCTTGGATATGAACTCATTCTAGGACTTAAAGTAACATTTACAAGGAAACACTGCTACTCTTGGCCTTAATGCAAGAACTGGCTTGGTTCCTGAGGCCTCAGTTTATTCCTCAGGGGCCCTAGGTTTCTGCCAAAGCTCTGGGGTCACTCTGGTGCTCGGTGAGAAAAACACTGCAGAAGAAAACCCACTGGGTCTGCACGTAGCTCCACAATCCCCTTCAAAACTACAGATTTCCCAGAAGTGTTCTGCTAATCAAGTATTAACTAAACTTAAATCTTCTGGTATAACCACCATAAAACTCACTTAGAGAATAAAATGAAGATTGATGAAAAATCTAAAAATACTAATTTAAAAAATTCATACTAATTATGATCAGAATTTTCTGGTAAATAAGTTACTAGGCAAATTATTACTTGGCAAAGCAGGGCCACATTTAAATCCAACCACTTAACTAATCCTTAAAAAAAACAAAAAGGCAGCCTAGGTTTATTCTCACACGGCAAGTATCCTTTTTCCAGTTGCAGAAAACAAAGAAAAAATCTTAAATTCTATTTTATCAATCTCTTAAACCATTAACAAACAATTTCACTCTTCAGAATTTTTTGTTTTTCCAAAATTCTAGGAGTTCCTTTCCCTAAGCAAAAGAAAGCCATATTTGTATATAATAAAAACAAACTACTAACACAACTGAAAATATTTAGGATGTGTTTATCTGGAGAGTCCTGCTGAAGTTTAAATAACATGAAATCTATTAACCATTCATCCTCTAAAAAAAAGTTAGGCAAGCTGGTAAAAAATACAGTTAGTATGACCTACAACTTCTTTCTATATCTCTTAATTTCCATGAGACTTTGCATCTTTGGAAAACTTCAGATATCCTTCAATGAAAAGACAGTCGCATTTGTTTTGATGTGAGAATAGTTAGCCAAAAGGAATGCAATCAAATATAAGTGCAGTCAGCAAAATCTTCTTAATTAACATTATTAGAGCTCTAATTAAATATTACAACTATTTGCAAGGCTGTTCTGAGAAATTTATTAAAATATCAGAAGTTGATGACTAATGTTTTTGATTAAGTTTCAGTGCCATGATTTAAAAATATATATGATATTTCCTGTGTATAACAGTAGAAAATTCCCTTGTAAAAATTTTGAAAAAAAATTTAAGAAGTAGTACTTATAATGAATACAGAATACTTCATTTGAGCAATCGTGTTTATTTAATCTATTTCATCTGTTGCCAAGTTTTTACTACTATAAATGCTACTGCAGTGCATAACCTTCCCTATAAATCGCCATTTGCCTTTCATGACTGTTTTCTTAGGAGAAATTCCTAGAACTGGAATTACTTCATCAAAGCATAATACTGTCATGGGGCTCTTCAGAAATGTTGGATCAACTTATACTTCCACCAATATGTGTTACAGTGGCCACTCAAAATGCCTACCACTAGGTATTTCCATTCAAAAAGAAAAATCACTGCCAAGTGAATAAGCAAAAATGAATATTCTCATTGTTAGGAAAGCTATCACGTAAAATATGCCTTAACACCTTTTATCCATTAAATGGCTCAAAATCCAAAAGGAAAATATTATAATTTAAAACAAAATTTCCTTCTAAGTCATGGACCTTTAATTTTACTATCAAGTCATTTTAGAACAAACTGATTGATAATCCATTTATTCATAGTCTTTAATGATGGTCATCTCATCATAAAAAAGCGTATGGACTTACTAAAACAGCTAGTGGGAGAGGAATAAACCCCATCCTCCGGGCCACGGAGTCACTATAATCAGTATATGCCTGGACAGAGAGAGAAGAAAAGGATTTATGGGATTTAATAAGCACTTAAAAAGCAGAATTCATCAGAAAAGTCAGGTACAGGAATGCTGTCTGTGCTTATATATAATGTTTCTTATTGTTATCGTAATTAAAATAAGAAACATTTCAAACTTAAAAAAAACAGTATAATTCATTCATCACCAGCAAATATTCTAAACAGGTGAGACTGTGAGCAAGAAGAGACCCTAGTACCTATACTGAAATTTAGTAAAACAATGGAGTGATCTAAATATTCATAAGAACTTTAAAATACAAAGTTGCATAACTGCTTCAATGCTGTATAAACCATATCCTATGTAATAAGTATTAGCATTATTTTTATTATTTTGTAAACATTTAGTGTCAAGAACAGAAATAAGGCAGTTTACCTAACTTTCCCTTAATTAATATCCCATGCTACATTAAACTATTGTTCAAAAAATTAATTATTAATTAATTAAACCATTGTTCAGTTAACTTCAGATTACGCCTTTTATATATATAATGCATACATTTTTCTGCCGACTGCTAACAAGGTCAAAAGCAAGGCTGGCTCTATATTCACTGTAGACCTAAAGACAAATAAGAATGAGGTATTAAGTAATATAGTGCAAATATAAAACATGGAAAGATTTACTTTGTAGATAAAATGTTCAATAACTAACCAGGAAGGAGGTGCTAATAACCAAGTGACATCTGGGTAGTTTTTCCCTAATTTGTTCACCTACAATAAGAGTGAAAAAGAGCCTCAATTCCCCTTGATAGGTTCAAGGCCTTTTAAAGGTTTCCTTTAAAGAGGGATAAATATTCAATGATTATGGTCGTTGAGAGTTTAGACTTTTAGGAAGAGTGGCTATTTTAAGTAGTGCAAGGCACAGAAAGTAATTCCGAAATTATAAATTAAATGAACAGTTTTAAAAAATTACTACTGTACATCTAACGATAATGGTATCTTCTTAGAAGAGTGAATGCTAAGTATGATACTAAGCTGAGTTGGAGAACACAGTAGTCCTGAAGGCACTTGTAAACTGTCCTTTCCACTATAAAACACACTAAATATTTGAATCAAGGCTATTAGTTTTGACTTGGGTTGCTGAGAAAATGTTGCATGAAAAGGGATTCCTGTTTTGAGGAAGCCAAGAGAGTGAAGGGTAAAATTGTTATATCTGGTCTTTGCAAAAAACTGCATGGTCATCTTCTACTCCAGGATGTTAAAATATCCAGCAATGCCAGAATCCTGTCGTCGACTGCAGCAGCTGCAACCGCACTGCACTTTAGGCCTCTGTCTCTTAGAGTGTGACAGTGAGCGTGCACAACCCCAACCAAATTGAGACACTAGTAAATTACCATTCATTTTGGTCCTAGGTTAGGAATGAGCATTGCTCTTGAGAACTAGACTGGTAGGATGGCTCAGTGAGTAGGCCTCATTTTGTTTATATCAAGCCTACAGCCACATTTCTATTTTTGGAAATGCTACAAAATACCTGGTTGTAACATAAAACAAATCTCTCAAAAGTTCCAACAAATGTTTTCAGTAGAAAAATATAAGGTGCTTGTCTTCTAGGACTTACCAAAAACCTACTCATAATCACAGGAGAAAAGAAAATCAATTTTAAAATATAAAATACTCAACAATCCAGTCAAAGAGAGAAGTTCTGATATCTAATATTTTAAATAGGAACAATGTGATTTTTAAAAGTTTAATGAGATGGGTTATGATGGTATTAACAGTTTATAATGGTTTTAGTTAGTGACAGACACCCTGATCTCAACTGCTGGTCAGTCCATACCTCTACCCGAAAGTACAGACACAGAACTGTTTAATGTTGAAACAATATACTTTTGGCAGCATAATCATTTTTAGAAATTTAAAATTATAATTCTAACTTTAAAACTATAGTACTTTTCTATCATACTCATAAATTCAGTAAGTTTAACTTGCTATCCTACAACCTTATGATACTAATCAGAAGTCAACACCAAACATTGAATTGTTTATTAAAATACATACATCTGCCGTGATGTCATTGAACTTTGTGATAAAAGCATGTTTTACAATATCCACAGCAATTTCTGACGCAACCACCATGCAGACATCTGGAAATAACACCCAGAGATGATCTATAAAGTAGGGGAGAAGAGAGACAGTTACATCTCTTGATATGAAGATTCCATAACATCCTATCACAGGCTACCAGAGAAATCTGCATTCTCCACAGGGCAAAACTGTAACATTTTCAACAAGTGATAATGGAGAGAGAACCGGCATAGAATTAATTATCAAGAAGAGTCATATCTTATCAGGTTAAAGGCTAAGTCATTCGACAAGTGCTTACTCCGAGCTTGGTACAGAGGAAGCCTTGAGGGGGGCGCCAAGGTTAGTGGAGCCCAGCCTCTCCTTGGGGAGGGGTACAGGACGACTGGTGGGATGGTGAGTGAGGAGGCTCCGTCTAAACCTCTCGGGCTGCCTCAGGGTGACGGTAGATAACTGGGAGGACAATGTGCTCGAGTTAACTGAACCGTTTTTTTCTCTCTTTGATCACTAAGATTCAACGATACTGATCCATCCTTTATTTCACCATCATACAGAGGTAACCTGCCAGATTTGCTCACCTTTACTGTATTTATTAAAACGTCAGCTCAGTACCAAGTGCCTGATTAACAAATGCAAACATCAGGATAACCTGCTTAGGCCTTGAAGAAGGATATACAAGTGGGACAGAGCAGGAAGATCAGAAATGTTGGCAGGGACCCGCGGCAATCCCACCCTGGGGCAGCTGGCGGCGGGTGGAGGGTGCAGGGCTGGGGCCCCCCTGCTGACCAGGAGGGAGGTGCTGAGCTTCAGTCAGGGCACCTCGACCTCTTTCGACAATCAGCTCTGCCACTGACTGGCTACCTGACGCTGGAAATCGTCTATTAATAAGTTCCAGTTTCCTCGTCTATGAGAGAGAACAGTATCTGCGCTGCAGCGCTCAGCAGGGTCACTGGGCACAGGCTGCAGCGATGCGGTGCGGTCCGTGGGAACCGTGTGTGCGTGCTCTGTCGTGTCTGACTCTCTGCGACCCCATGCACTGGAGCCCACCAGGCTCCTCTGTCCATGGGCTTCTCCAGGCAAGAAGACTGGAGTGGGTTCTCATTCCTGCTCCAGGGGATCTTCCCCACCCAGGGGTCGAACCTGCGTCTCCTGCATTGGCAGGCAGGTTCTTTACCACTGGTACCATGCTGGACCAAAGGTTACTGTGGGGGGTCTAGCTCCCACCACCCCATAGAGCACGGTCAACCCATCCTACACGTGAAGAGTGGACCAGCTAAAGGCTTCTGGAGATTTCTGCACTTTTCTGTGTACTCATTTTATTCCATGGAAGAGAATGATTTTTCGCTCAGGAGCAAAACTGAAAGGCACCATAACTGTTAAGACTTCCTTACCTGGATTCCAAGAAAACTGCTCCATGTTTCTCAGACATACTATTAGCAAAAGCACATAATTTGTGAATCGTTCCTTAATATCTGAAAAAAAGTTTAACATAAAAGTAGTATATATAAATAATACTATAGTATGTATCTAAAATAATTTTCTTTTAGTCAGAATATGATGAAATTGTCTAACAGTGTAAATGTCTGTGAAATAAATATGTTATATATAGTGTGGTGCTACACTGGCCATTTACTTCTTTCAAACCAACATAATCCTAGCACAGAAATGCCAGTTCTCTACAAACCTCAAAAAATGTTCAAACCATCTATCTGGTCAGACTTAGTCAAATTCCTCCAGTGGTCTTTGGGGACATAAGAAAACTGTTTTCTAACTGTTTTCTTTTACAAAAGAAGAAAAAAATAGAAGCAGAGAGTAAAATACAAGACTTAGGGTAACATAAAACCCCTGCTTCCCAGACTGCTTCCGATCTGGTAAGGATTTCAGGTCTGGAATACAACAACCAACTGGATGACTCATTTAGCTAGCTAACAAAGCCAACGGCATTACTGAGGGAACTTCGGAGAATAAAACAAGGCAAAAATTAGGTTTCATGAGGATATTAACCTTAATTACTAAGTATTCTGAGCTTACTCTGAATGAATTTAATAAAAGGAAAGAACTAAATTCCTGCTAAAGGCTAGTTAATACATTTCACTTTTTAACCTGTTATCTTCTTATCAGCATCTAAGATACTATGTAATCAGGAAATGGAATGAAATAAATCTGTCTGACTTGGGGTGAACTCTTACGTTAGTTAAAAAGTGGAATTTCTACCAAAATGGGAATGTTATCTCTTAATCGCTATTAAGGAGCTTAAAAATACTGGTGATTAATGCTTTAAAAGTATTTTTGATATTCAAGTTATTAATCTCCTTTTTCTAAGTTACCACTAACAGGGATATGCTTTAACGTATTTACAATCACATTTTATACGTGAAGTGACTATTTCATTTCCAACAGTTATTTAAATGAATGCAGGTACACAGGTTTATGCTGAGACTTAAACAGAATCACCCTGAGCTGGAACCATACTTCAAACCAATGTAACGCCTGCAGGATCTTTCTGAATGTACAGTTTACAATGTCAGTGGGTTAAAAACTATGTAAAACTCTTCATTTAAAGAACCCAAATCAGAAAGGCCTAGATGCCATACTCAGCTGGGGCTTACACTGACATGAAGTGGAAGAAAGGACCAAAAGTTAAAAAATTGGGTTTTATTAACTAAACTCTTTCGCATTTCCTTGGACAATTCCCTGAAAGAAAATGCACAGCCAGGCAATAAACTGAAAGGATAAAGTTGCTCTAAAGTTTCCAAAGAGGAGAGTGAAAAAGTTGGCTTAAAGCTTAACATTCAGAAAACTAAGACCATGGCATCTGGTCCCATCACTTCATGGGAAACAGATGGGGAGATAGTGGAAACAGTGTCAGACTTTATTTTTCGGGCTCCAAAATCACTGTAGATGGTGACTGTAGCCATGAAATTAAAAGACGCTTACTCCTTGGAAGGAAAGTTATGACCAACCTAGATAGCATATTAAAAAGCAGAGACAGTACCTTGCCAACAAAGGTCCGTCTGGTCAAGGCTATGGTTTTTCCAGTGGTCATGTATGGATGTGAGAGTTGGCCTGTGAAGAAAGCTGAGTGCCGAAGAATTGATGCTTTTGAACTGTCGTGTTAGAAAAGACTCTTGAGAGTCCCTTGGACTGCAAAGAGATCCAACCAGTCCATCCTAAAGGAGATCAGTCCTGGGTGCTCATTGGAAGGACTGATGCTGAAGCTGAAACTCCAGTACTTTGGCCACCTCATGCAGAGTTGACTTATTGGAAAACACCCTGATGCTGGGAGGGATTGGGGGCAGGAGGAGAAGGGGACGAGAGAGGATGAGATGGCTGGATGGCATCACCGACTCTATGGGTGAGTTTGAGTAAACTCCCGGAGTTGGTGATGGACAGGGAGGCCTGGAGTGCTGCGATTTATGGGGTCACAAAGAGTCAGACATGATTGAGCAACTGAACTGAAAGTTTCCAAACTAGGTTTTCAACATTAGACTTGTTCAAGGTTCTGAATTTGATCCCACATACGTGCCATCTCTCACTTGGAGAGATTTTTCTTTTTCTTATGTGGGAATGGGTTTTAATGCTGCCTTAGGTAAAATTTGTTGTAAAACTTGAAGGTAGATAGAAGGGGGTACAAAGCAGACCACACTGCACTGTAACATGAACTATTCCACCTCTAACAAAAAGCAAGACTTTTCAAGCTGATTACTAACCATTTATGCCATAATATACTCTTGAATTTCTTGTAAATTCACATGCATTGCTTGATCAATATGCCATTGTTTTCAGAGCTTTCTGAAAACTGAAATACTAAATTCCTAATTTTTCTAAGCTAAGAGGTTATAATTCTGGGGACTTGTTTCTAAAAGAAAGGAAAGGGGACATTAATTATCTCAACATACTGGTGATAAGGTTGAAAACTGTTCACAATCTCCTCCACACAATAAAGACTAAAAACTGTTAAAACTTCAAAAAGACCTGCAAGCCTATTTTACAGCTCTACAGAGTAGCCTACTCAAATCAAGCCACTAAGGAAAAACAGCATGATTTCTGCTACAAGTGAAATTCTTATAGCTGCCTCCACAGAAGAAGAAATCCTATCTCAGCTTTCGTCCTGTCTCTCCCCTTCCTTTCCTTTCAAATCCACAGAGATTGGCAGTACACATTCAAAAGAATGTCACCGAACAGACAGGCACAAGCCAGTATTGCCCTCACAGCTTCGAGGTCTAAGGTTTTACCGCTGTTCCACAGACTGAAGTTTCTCATGAGCTCTTTTTGTTCCCTGCCTAGTTATCAAATCTCCTATAATTCCAAACATTCCTTTGCTTTTAATATATTCACATGCCATTACTTTCCTTGCCTAATACAGAGGTGAAATTTACACACATGCGAAGTTTTACCTGTAGAATCTGATGGGCTCTGATGAATGTGTAAGCTCTGCCACCATTCCCGTAACTAAAACATGAACAGTTCCATCACTGCAGTGAGTTCCCTCACACCCCTTCCTACCCAATCCCCACCCCCAGGAAGCAATCACTGTTTGACTTCTATTATCATAAACTAATTTTGTCTGATCACAAACCTCATAAATATGAAGTCGCACAGCATGCACTTATTTATGTCTGGCCTCTTTTCATTCAGTGTAAAGCTTCTGAGATTCCTCTACGCGGTTGAAACACAGTAGTTCTAACTGCAGAGCAGTGTTCGCAGTGCAGATACACACGTTTATTTATCTGCTCTCCTCTGAACAGGAGGGTCTGGGTTGTTTCTAATCTGGGGCTGGGAATAAGCTGCCATAACCGCTCTCGTACAGGTCCTTTTGTGAAACCGTGTTCCCACTGCTGGGCGACAGGGCAGGTGGCCGTGCAAGGCTGAAGAAAGCCCGTAAGGGTTCCGGGGGCAGCTGCAGCATCCCGTGCTGGCCCTCAGTGCTGGACGAACCTCGGCGTCACTGATGCGCCCGGGCAGCCACTGGACCGGACGATCCGGTGCAAATGGCAACACGGTGGACGAGACAAATAGCACCTTCACAAGAACAGTCTTGACTTCGCAGACGCCCATCCAGGGATCCATGGGCCACATCTTGAGAACCAAGGCACTGCTGCTCTGATTATGACAACTATGTTACAATAATGTTTCCGGGATACACTTTGTGACCTCACACTTTGCAGAATTAGGAAGGAGGCAGTAAGTCATAAAGTCATAACTGAGAAAGCTGAGACCTAAGAGCCAATCTGAGGTTTGTGGTCATAATTCTATGGCTAAGTGAGTGACCTTGAGAGAGTAAGATCATTTCCTCTGTGTTTCAGTTTCCACATCTGTAAAATGGAGTTGTATCAGCAGCTTCCAAGAAATTTCTGAATTAGAAAGATAAGATAATAAATAATTACGGGCATTTGTATAGCACTTTGTGCTATAGTATGGTAAAGTATGGTACCATACTATACCATAGTATGAAAGTATGGTAAAGTACTATATGAATGCCTGTAATTATTTATTATATTAAACATCCTCAAGATCACAATAAGCAAAATACAAAAAACTCAGTAAAGATGTTGAAAGAGTTCAGCTTAAGTCAAGGAAGTAGTGGCCTGTTGGAAATGTGACATTAAGAGTTTCAGAATGAATTACACAGTAACACTGCATAAAGCTTCAAGTAGAATCTGATTGTACATACCACTATTTGACATTTGAAAAAGATTGTTCTTTTCGAACTTCTTGAAAACACTTCCTTTAATTTCAACAAACTGAAACAGAAAACACAAAAGTCATCTTTATTATTACCACAGTTGTAAAAATTGACATGCCATATGTGAATCTTGCCAGAATAAATAACAATTAAGAAAAAAAACAACAACTTCCTCCCATCTAGAATACTGCTGTTAACATACCCATACAACCTCAAAAATATAAAATAAAATCTCATACTTACATTATTAGACATCATGATAGTAAGCAGGGACTTGTTATGTGAGTTAAAAGCCACGTTCAGAGTTGTTGCTTGAACCATTATAAGGATGGCATGTAAAACTAGCAGTAAGCGATGGTCAAGGGAAAAACTGAAGTCTGTTTCCAGTTTATGTTAACAGATAATGCTATTAAAATCTCAGAAGTTTATAACGGGGAAAAATATGACTATGCTTTCTAAATCATGCCTTACACAAGTACTTTATTATCTTTGTAATTTCTCTATTAGCTATAGTTGATACAAATTTGATGGGATAAGAAACCTATGAAATAAACTATGAAACAAACAAAAGCAGAAATGATCCTAACCGATTAGATCGGGAGTTCTGGAGGACAGACGTCTTGTTCTTTCTGGAGCTGTGGCATTTGGCACGATGCCTGGGAAATGGAATCTCAGAAAAGTTATTAAATAATGGAATACATTATGGTAAATACTGAAAGAAGAGACTTAGATATACACATTGTGAATTCCGATAATTTGCATCCTAAAACAGAAAAGAATATAAAGTAAGAGTCAGTCTGGAACTGATTTTCCTCTCTGGTTTTCATTGGGGGATGGGGAATGCAGGAGTCAGAGATGTCTGGTAATTAAGATTCTTCTTCAGATGCCAGTTCAGAAGACATTCATGAGTTTTAGAATTATATCGCCTGTGGAAGAACTTAAATTCCATGGATGAACTTAAATTAGAACAGTAACTTTTGGTTCCACTGTGTCTGAAACAATCTTTTACTTGCCACAGACGTTTTTCCCATATAGTCCCTTAACTTCCCAAATGTTAATCCAGTTCTTTTAAGGATTGCTCTTTCAAAGACAGTACAAAACAAAACCCACATGACACATTCCTGTGAACCAGTCCTGCTCCCATATGAAACGAGTGTGAGTATGCACATGTATGTAAACAGACAGGCATGTATAGTATACATACATGAGCACACTGTGTTACATGGTAAAACATCTATTCTCCAAAAGAAAAGCTTTCAGATGGAGGTGAGGGAGGGGGAAAGAAAACCCCTAAAATTCCTCCTCAGCTAATTTCAAATTTTACTTCTAGATGAACTGTATACATTTTACTTTTCATTTATTTTTTATTGAAGAATTGCATACATTCTCAGCTGAAGGTTGTAACAAAGAATTCACAGGTTTAAGAGCAACTTAATAAAATTCTAACCTAAGTATGAAAAAGCTACATAGATCTATATAAATCTGAAGTATGTGTAAATATAACTACCCCTTTATTCTAAAATCCTTCCTTATAACCGGTTTCTAGCAGTTTAAAGGGGCATGCACACATGAGACTCTAATGTAGTTAGAGCTGACTGCTGAGCAACATGGGTTTGAACTGCACGGGTCCCCTTACACACAGGTAGTTTTCAACAGTGAAACACTGCAGGACTGAATGGCCTGTTGGTGGCTGAACCCTCAGACACAGAGACTGGTTATCATTCACCCTTGGGCTGCTGCCGCTGTTCAGTCGCTCAGTCATGTCCGACTCTTTGCGACCTCGTGGACTGTAGCCCGCCAGGCTCCTCCGTCCATGGCATTTCCCGGGCAAGAGTACTGGCATGGGGTGCCATTACCTTCTCCAGGAGATCTTCCTGACCCAGGGATCAGACCCGTCTTCTCTGTCTCCTGCGCTGGTGGGTGGATTCTTTACCACTGAGCAACCAGAGAAGCCCCATACTTGGTTTAGCCTCTGTGTTGTTCAAGGACTAAGTAGACTATTATAACCAACTTCTCAAAAGAAAGTAGACATTTCACATTAATCTTTAGGATACACACACACACCTCTTTAAGTGTGAGAAACAGCTAACCAAACAGAATAGTATAAACATGCACTGATGGCTGGCATTTCCAAGAAGTCCGAAAGGATACAGACATAGAGGACGGCCATGAGAAAGTGGGGAATCACCCCGATGTGGGCCCTCTTCCTTTCTTTGGGCTCTGTTGCTGTCCAGTAGAGAGCATCTAGTATATCTTGTCCAAATGAGGAGAACAGGCGATCTGCTACCTACAGAGAAAAATTAAGGAAACGTGTTTCTTACTATGCCATCCGTATATCTTATTAAAATTCAGAGGTAACACAAATACCAGAGGGGATAAGCTCCAAAAGAGAGCAGGATCTCTGTTTACTTAATCGCTCACATTTTCTTATTCTCTGACACAACCTGAACACCCAAGTGTTATACTAACTGAATTAGAATTTGTCTAACTAGCCACGTTTGCAACAAGGAAAATCTTAGTCATTAAATAAAAGGGAGAGGACACATCAAAATCATGGTTCTTCTGGTTTTAACTTTTTGAATTTATATTTAGGACTCAAACTTAAACTTTTAAGGACAAATATCATTTGACCCATTCTCCTTATACCTAATATTGGTAAGTAACAATAACTGTGATTTGTTTGAGGTTTATCACATAAGAATATAATAAGCAAATTTATTCCTGGAAGACATTTTCAAGTACTGATCTCCATGAATATAGTTCAATAGATAAAGAGAAGCACATAAGAAAAAAAAAAAAAAAGGAGGGCCATCATTCAGGATTCAGCTGGAACGTCACATCCTGAGACAGGACGTTCCTGGCCCATCCAACCTCCTCTGGTGGCTCCCAGTCTCTAAAGCATCACCCTGTTCCTCTTCATCACAGTATTTATCATTGCCTCTCTCTCACCTGCCTATTCATCATGGTATTTATCACTGCCTCTCTCCCAACCTGTGGAGTATTAGCCATGGGACTAGGCTTGTGCACCTCGGGCTCTTGGGGATCTCGGCATGCAGGAAGTGTTGGTTCAACACTTGCTGAATGAAGAAATGCGAGCTGCCAGTAAGGAGCTCCCACCACACACCTGCCCTGTGCTAAGCCCTTCTGTGTGCTGTCTCATGGAATCCTTGTAATTCTCCTAGTATCTCCATCTCACAGATGACAAGCTGAAGAGCAGAACTGCTCAGCAGCTGGACGCACGTGCAGGATAACCAGGATTGGAACAAGTTCTCTCTGGAGCCTGGACTCTGGCCCACTATGCTTAAACTGCATCATCAACTACAGAGTCAGTGAGCATTTAAACCACTGCGATCAGCAGCTCATGGATGCTCCTGCTTGGCCCACTTCCTGATCACAGCAACAACAGCACCTTGTGAGGGGCGCTGTACAACAGGAGGCACCTCTCTTAAGTTTTGGGGGGAGGGAGAAGCCTGGTCAGCTGCAGTCCCCCCAGGGAGGAGGCAGTGGGGCCTGACATGGAGAGCTGCCCACACGGCCAGAGGGGACAGGAGGACTGGGCTTTTCTTTGATGGGACGAGGGGAGCGCAGGATGGCTACTCTGCTTTACAAACCCAGCCAAACCCACTGTCAGTACCTCACCTGACCTGGCAACAAGCCCGCACTGGGAAGCTAGGGTGTGGTTTCCAACTCATCTCAGCTGATGAATGTAGGTGCAACCAGGATGGATAGAGGGCCCCAGTTTTGTGAAGAGACAGGAAGTCCCCACCCAGGCAGCAGCAGACCAGAGAGGCCAGCAGCCCCACATCACCCCACGTGTCTACCACGTGTCAGGAAAACCCATTGGAGACATGACTTTGCCAACAAAGGTCCGTCTAGTCAAGGCTATGGTTTTTCCAGCGGTCATGTATGGATGTGAGAGTTGGACTATAAAGAAAGCTGAGCATTGAAGAATTGATGTTTTTAAACTGTGGTGTTGGAGAAGACTCTCGAGAGTCCCTTGGACTGCAAGGAGATTCAACCAGTCCATCTTGAAGGAAATTAGTCCCAAATATTCAATGGAAGGAATGATGTTGAAGCTGAAACTCCAGTACTTTGGTCACCTGATGTGAAGAACTGCCTCATTGGAAAAGACCCAGATGCTGGTAAAGATTGAAGGAAGGGGGGGGGAGGGGACAGCAGAGGATGAGACAGTTGGATGGCATCACCGACTTGATGGACTCGAGTTTGAGTAGGTGACGAGAGTTGAAGAAGGACAGGGAAGCCCGGCATGCTGCGGCCCATGGGGTCGCAAAGAGTCAGACATGACTGAGTGACTGAACTGAACTGAATCTAAAAGACAGGGAGAACTTACTGGTGTCCCCAAAAAGTAGTACAGAAAAGTAAAAACTGAATCTTAAAAGGTTAATGATATAACCCAGGTTATTTTACTATTTAGTATTCTTTAATATTTAATATTACTATTTTAAAAAAAAACTTAAGATTCTGCCTATAAAGCAAAGCGTTTTTTTTTTGCTTTGTATAACTGTTTATTTTTTACATAAATGCAGATTTTCACAGGATGACTACTTTAAAGTGTAGTGTACCTTGAAGACATATTGTATTAAAAGCATTAAATACTTAGAGAAACTGGGAAATTGTTTACTTGTTATGTGTGAAAATTTAAAAGCAATTTAAAATATAAATCTATTATAGCCAATAAACACATAATTCTAAAAATATCTTCATAACATTTACAGTTCTAGCAAAAAGCACACATGGGTTTGCAATAAATCAGGAAAATTGCCCTGTCATCTGATAGTTTACACTCTCAAGGGGGCACTGAGTCAGAAACGTCTAGGCAGCCGATCCCCTCTCGATCCCCCTCTTCCCTACCGGAGGACACACGGCGCCCTGTGGGCCGGCTGCCCCCAGTGTGTCCTGGGACGGCAGGCACCATCTCGTTAGAGGGATTCTAAATCAGATGTGCATCCTCACAAGGCCACCCACGACGGCACGAGCCCCAGCGGCTGGATGTGGCACTGGCAGAGCCGGCGGGGGGGGTGTCCTGAGCGGGAAGCCGTGTGCCGCGGGCCGGGCCTGCTGGGCTCACCTCGAGCATGTTGTAAATGATGTACAGCTTGATGACCGACTGCCCCCGGATCAGGTGATACATCATGGAATAGTCCACGTAGTGCATCATGAAATAGCAGATGACCAAGATGACCCCCTTCAGGATGTCACACACCTGGGCGGGCTGAAGCACACGTCGGTCCCTGAAACAGACAAGAAGTAACAAAAAGGGGAGTCTCACCTTCTGTGCTCTTGAATAAACCATCTTACAGGACAGGCAGTGGCAAACAAAGGAAACGGCAAACAAAAGCTTCACACTATCGGGGAAAGTTATGCTGACTACTCAACAGTAGGAAACTTCCTGCCCAGGTAGAGAGTGTAAAGATACTAGACCAGAATTACAATGAGAGGAAGTGGGAACCTTAACGAGTGACCACAGAGGGCAGGTGGCTGCTGGCCGAGCACCTGGAAGCAATGGGTTTCCACAATGAGGACACAGGCCTCCCAGCTCATCAGGAACCCAGAACCCCACTGGCGCGGCCCTTCTGACAGAGGGACAGCATTCGACACTATTTTCCATGATCAGTTCTTACAGACAGCACGGTGTTCCACTGCATGGGTGCGTCATAATTTAACATAACACTGACAGATTTCCAGCCTTTTGCAACTATAAACCATGTGTAAGGTACATGTCATACCTTGTAAGTGAAAACATATTTATAGGATAAAGTCTTAAAGCTGGAATCTCACGTTACGTTCACTTTGTCCTCCTGGTAAGACCTGTGCTGCCCTCTGCAGGAGTTGTACCAATTTACACTAGCACCAGACGCCTGGAAGCTCACGTGCATCAGTTCAGGGATACTGGCTAATGCCACTGGTGAGAAATCCAATCTAGCAGTTTCACTGTTAATTTCTCTCATTAGAACACTGACATCTTCTTTAAATATTTATCTATACTATCTGTGAATTCTCTCCTCGTATCTTCTTACTAGTTTGTAGGATGGTTGTTATATTACAAACATTAGCCCTCTGGAACATAAGTTGGAAATACAGTTGCCCCCTGAATAACATGGGTTTGAACTGCACAGGTCCACTTATACGTGGATTTTTTCCAAAAAATACGTGCTTCAGCACTACGTGACCTACGTGACCTGGTTGAGTCCTCGGATGAGGAACCACAGACAGGGAGGAGTCCTGGATACAGAGGGACCGTGGATATGGCGGGCTGGCCACTGTGCGTCGGGCTGGTACCCCAACCCTCAGAGGCTCAAGTGCCAATGATGGATTTTTCTGCTAATTAACATGAGCAGAATCATTCCTTACTTCCAAGGTCAGAGTACAAAGACCTAAACCTAAATTGTGAATGGAAATGTATTCCTAAGATACAGGGAAAAAATACATTAGAAAAGAAGAAATTAAGATGTCTGTCACAACGTGTAAAGTTCCTGTGGCTGGAGCGGAAAGGTGCTTTCTCCGAGTCTACTGCAGGCTGACTCCTCAAGATTGAAAACGCTCAGCCCCCACCTCGGCAGCTTACACACCGAGCGATCAAGAGAAAGCCCGGAGATCTGCCTCAGGGGTGCAGAGCCACTTCACTCCCGCCCCCGCGGCGGCACTTGGGCTCCCACTAGCGGGTGAGCCCCTTTCCGGGGGCCGCTGGCGTCCCGAGCTGGCCCTTACTGGCTGCTCCTCGGCTGCCTCCTCTCTGGGCTCCTGCTGAACCCTCGGCCACGTTCAGATCAGGCGCTTTTCTTCCAAAGATCCTTGCTGGGCTGGGCAAGGGCGGGTGGCCGCTGCCCAGAGCGCTGTGCCGTACGGCGACGGTGAGGCGCGCAGAACCTCAGCGATGTGCGCTGGGCACGGCTTTCCGTCTCTTCTCAGGCAGAGCATGGAACCCGACAGACGCCCTGAGAAGAGGCAGACTCTGTGAAGTCTGCGTCCAGGGAGGGCCAGCAGCGGATGACCCTGGGCTGAACCAACGAGCTTAGATGGAGAGACTGGTCAGGATGGTCCAGGTCACACCCCGGGTCATGAGATGGGCACAAGAGACTGAAGGGAGTTCTTCTCAGCAGTGGAGGTTGAAATCTTGGGGAAAACTGCCTCCAGGACAAGGCTGGCGTATCTCTACCATCACTTCTCTGTCCCTTCCTGTCTCCAATGCTTTCTTCTCCCTCCCCGAAGACGTGGCCTTGTATTTCCCCATGAAATCTGGAGTGAGCTCTGTCTTGGTTTGGACACTGAGCCCAGAGCACGGAACTCTGCTAAGGGCTGTGCAACTCTCAAGGGAATTCGCTGCCCCCCTGCCCCCTTGAGATACACATTTGTCAAGAGCCGGAGGTAAACATCTCTAATGCAAACAACGAGAAAAGGAGACATTTGGACACTCTTGGGCCCTGGACTGTTTGCCTGTACCCCCAGGACGGCCGGGGCACAAACGGAAGCCTCTGCCAGGAGCGCCCGCCCACGTGCCCGCAGAAGTGCAGGCACAGATGGGCATACACTGAAAAGCACACCTCATCCTCGGTTGGGGCCTTCTGCTTCAGCACCGGAGGCTGTGGTTTATCAATGAGAGAGAATGACAGGAATGAAATGCAGGATGATACTAGTGAATCTGTGTTAATTACCAAAAGGATTTAGGTAACTAACTAAAGCAGAAATCTGTAGAGCTTTTAGGACTAGAATGGCATCTACTCAGTTAACTGGTCTCAGCCAAAGCTCTTTAAGAGATGAAGGGACTTTTAACACATATATGTTCAATTGTGTCTCTTTATAAACATTTGCAACAATGGAACAATGAGTTAGTATATTCTCTAAGAAGGAATGGCTTCCCTGGTGGCTCAGATGGAAAGAGTCTGCTTGCAGTTGAAGGAAACCTGGGTTCGATCGCTGGGTCAGGCAGATCCCCTGGAGGAAGGCATGGCAACCTACTCCAGTATTCTTGCCTGGAGAATTCCATGAATGGAGGAGCCTGGCGGGCTACAGTCCATGTGGTTGCAAAGAGCTGGACGTGACTGAGTGACTGAACTGAACCAAACATTGAAAAGCTATAATCTCAAATAACATAATACCACAATGTTTAAACCAAGAGGATACTAAGTTCAAAATCTGGTATAAACAACTTCAATTTAGCTTTATGTTGCCCAGGATTAAATCAGGTTGTGAAAATGCAGAAGTTCTGTAGAATCATGCTACAATCCACAGGCCCTCTGTGGCAGGCACCATTCTAGGCACTTCGTACGCTCTCTCAGTTTCCGCAATAATCCTATGAGATCCAATGAGGAAGCGACCATCACCATCCTGATTTCCCAAAGGCTATCAGGAACGTGTCTGCAGCTGCACAGTTCGGAATTAACAAGCAGTGGAGCCAGGATCTGACTCTTGGCCTCTGGCTCTAGAAGGCAATTTCTCACTCCCGCCTACTATTCTAGACATTTCTTTAAAAGAACTTTTTAAACTCACAGGAATCAGCAACTCAGCATGTTTGATCTTGCAGCATAGTTTAATACTGTATAATTTATCACTGTACTGTCATCTCATTTGGAAAAATGATTGTGCTAAATACCAAATATAGCTACAATTTTTGCTTTTTGTTTCTAAAAAGAGAGGGGAGAAAAAGGACTATTTCCACTGGATCCACTGCTTTCTGTGCAGGTTCTGCTTTGGTGGAAATATTCCATTGCTTAGATCATAACTGGTTGCTAGGAGATGACTGATTTTAAAAATTAAAGAGATTTATTCAAATAAAAAATAAAAGAAGCAGAGCTGTTCAGAAACAAAGGGTCTTGCTATCATATACATGTACCTGTAAATGAAAAAGGAAAGCTGCAAAAACTGAAGGAAAAAAAAAAATTCTAAGGTGGCATCACAACCTCTCTGAAGTAAAATCGAACCTCAGAATAAGTTCATCTGGTGCAAACAACCCAAACCAATTCCACTGTTTGTTTCCTTCTCTGCCAGGACATTTGTGGATGACTGTATGATATGCATTTCCAACTCCATAAGAAGCTTACCCACCAGCCCTGCCAGTCAGCTCTGAAATGGTTCCTGAAGAATGCTTTCAGGGTGAAGCTCTTCCTCATAAATGCCTATTAAACAGCAGTTACTTGCAATTCACTTTGCAAATGCTGAAAATCCCACACAAACACATAAAATAGTGGAGGAAGCTGCTGGACAAAGTGAAAAACCCGCTAATCTAATTTACAGCTTGGCCATCAGTTATCACAAGAGAAGTAATACTAACCAAGAAATTCAACAGAACTTAAAAACATTTAAAACTTTCAGGTTAAGTCAAGCTTGCGGAAATTAAAACTTTCTACATTTCTAAATTTTATCTTTTGGTCATTCAAATACTTCCCCTGGATTTGCACATTTATCCAATAAAGGACCCCGTTGCTTCAAGGGCACTCTTGGGGAACAGAATGATGGAGCAGAAAGATGATCAGTTGCAGTTTTCCTCATCCTGGGCAGCAGGAGGTGCTCAGTGACTAAGACTGAAGTGTAAGCTGACAAGTGAACAAAAGATCAGGACAGAAGAGCAGGCAGCACCATGACCAAGAGAACTGGGGTAATCCGCGCCTACTTCATTTTCAAGTCGGTGTTCAAACATGCCAAGGTACCAGCGTGGGATACTTCATCACAAAATACACAGGCTGGATCTAACTTTCTTTCTCTCTTAACGCTTTCAGCTGCTCATGGTATGACTGAAAGAATGAAGAAATACAAAGGACTATTGGAAAAAAGTGAAAAGTCAAAAATGGTGTCCATTTTTGAAAGAGAAGTCATTTTCTAATTTTAAAGTAAACTGCAATAAACTATTGAGATTAAGAGGTTTTCCTTACTTAGAAGACTGAAAATTGAACACCTTAAGCTTTTGCAACAGACAGTAGAAAAATTAATTACAAATGCTTAAACTGAATGACTGAAGTGTTTCTTGGGTTTTAAAACGGTTCCAAACTATACTAGGAAAAAAAGCACTGGCTTGATAAAGCTATGTTTGGTGCTTGAATGATGCAAAATAAAAACTGCTCACATGGAAGGAACTTAAGCTCACATGAAGGAACTGATGTGGCGTTGGGAATGAAGGACTTGATGTCAAATCTAGACAACATGTGTAACTGAAATTCGTTTTATCAAGTGATCTTCCTAGGTTAGGTGAGATTCTGGTCAAATCCTGCACAAATGTGGACAAAACTTTATCACCAAGTTAGGATAAGGAAGCACATTTCCTTTCGAAGTGTCCATCTCCAAGCGCTCATGTCTATTTCTCATTATAATCAATATCTGTCTGTACTGATGTCAATTTGGCAAGAGAAGAGAAGAAAAATCAGGGTGTACTCACCACAAGGAGTCCCTGTGACACCACATTCCACTCTACAAGGGAAGTGAGAGCGCGCCTCCCTTCGGTCTGATTTACGAGAGAGAAAGAGAGAGAGAATGTTGTAATGTCGCTACGCCACTGACAGCGCCACGGTGAGGAGCAGGAGGGGATGACGACGCCGGAGGCGGGAAGACCCTCTAACAAGACATCGCTCTCTACAAATGAGCATGGAGACTCGGCCTGGGAGGGGAAATGACGGCCGGCCGTGTTTCCCGGAGAAGTGATGTGAGCATGACAAGGGTAGCAAGAATCACCCAGGTGGAAATTAAGGCTTATGTCTAAAGAGAGGAAGAATCTCTTATGTGTGTGTGCTCATGTGTGAAGTTCATTTCAGGGAGAACTACCTGGGAGGAAGTAAGGCAGGGAGGAAACTCAACGGGTTAAGAAACACTCGAGCATCTGAAATTCCTAATTCCTCAGGAGATGAGAGAGATTTCTGTGGGGTAAATTACCACTGCCTTAAAAACAGAAAGGTACATGAAGCCTCCAATAAGAGATATGCTTAAAACCAGGGCGAGAAATCAGTAAAATTTACTTGCATGTATTTTATTTGCTCTAATAGTAAAAGAAAAATACTCTAGCATTTATTACTTAAACCTCAGCTACACTTATTACTGTCTAAAATATCGTAGCAAAGTTTTCAAAACTATCAGTTCTTGGCACCAGATAGTATCATTTTTCTCTACAACCTCCCTCAACTTTTAACTCAAGACTGAGGATTCTAAAACACAAGATGAAGTCACAGCTTGGAGGAGGAAAAAGGATTCATAAAAATGCCAGGTAAATTAGAGACACACACACAACTGTTATTATTTATTTATCCTATAGGTTCAGAAAAATAACACTGGATGCCTCTTTAGCATGAAGCACATCATGCTACATTTAGCATAATGTAGCTACTGTAGAGCAATCGACTTTTCTAAAAACAGAATACTTTCATTCTGTCAAGAAACAAAGATATCTCATAAAATAAAGCAAGACTTCATTCTCATTTTCATCTCCTCATTTAAAAAATTATCCAAATTCAAGAATTTTCTCAAATGTTTTCCCCAAATTATACTACCCTACCTGAGAAAGAGGGAAGAAATACATAAATCAACAGGCTTTTAGAGAACCTGCATGTATTTATTTTAACCTACAACAAAATATATAAGGGCAAAGATTTTTCAAGATTGTTAATTCGTTAGCAATAACTTTCACCTAATTATTCTTGAAATTGCTAAGGGTGAGTGTAGACTTTTTATGGAAGCAGTGCACCCTTTGCAGATAACATGCATACAACTACAGAGTCAAGAAAAATTACTCTGCCAACATCTCAAAATAAAAAACATTTTCACAGGGTCAGAGGCTGGCAAAGCGCCCACCAGTGAAGCAGCCACAATACACGCCAGCCTCCGTAAGGGCTGCTGAGGGGCCCAGGGCTCAGCCTGAATGAAAGGCAGAGAGTCGGCTTCATGACAGGGCCGATAAAACCCCCAAGCCAAACCCTGTGGCCGGTTTACGGAAGATTCAGAAGTGGATGCATAGAGTCCTCTCTAATAGAATGTTGGCAGAAAAAGAAGGCAAAACTTGTCTCATTAATACTTTTGTAAAAAAGGAAATGTATTTATATACTCCTAAAATATTTGAAAGATTTTAGACAAGTATTAACAATAGTTTTGGTAATACAATTTTTTACATTATATTTCAAGTTAGGTGCTTTAAAAAAATAATGTTCAGAAGACATTGCTTCCTAAATTGCTCAAAGAAAATATGAACTGCAGCCCACGTTACTGTCAGCAAAGTACTGCATTCTGATAAAGCATGTAGGGCACTGTGACAGGAAGGCAGGGTCTTCAAACTCTGTATCATCTGCCTATGCTCATGTAGTGCTTAGACGTGCTGAAGCTCTGTTATACCATTTTAACTGCACTTCATGTTATATACACATATATAAGAGACGGCATAAAATGTCATTTTTCAGAGGCTCCAAACTGCAGAACAGCAAGAAGCGTCTGCCCAGGAAAACAGAACGGCGCCTTGCAGCAGTGTGACAGCTGCCCTCTAGTGTGGGCCTGACTGCAAGAGCATGAAAACGGAACAGACTTGAATTCTGCTTTAAAATGTCACTCAGATTAACTTAGATTGAAAAGCATTTTAAAGTAATATATGAAAGTTATCATCTTTATTTTATCTGCTAAAAAAAATCTGAAAAGGTCTAGAAAAGGTGTGCTCCAGGGACCACTGACCACCCACTGAAGCCAGCATGAGCAGAGGGCTGAAGGCGTCCCGGCACTCTGCAACAGCTCTCCCGGTTTCCAGAACAAACACCAAAGGGCTTCTGAGGCAACCTTGGTGCCTTGCTCCCCCAGGGACAGGGACACAGTTTAGATGCCTCTGCAGCTGCAAGACGGTTCTTCAAAAACAATCTTCAAGAAACAGAGGCCCCCAGGAACACGGCAAATCCCCTCCGCCACTCACCCCGTGAACATCCACTGAGGGCTGAGACCCCAGGAGCCCCTCCAGGAGGAAGGAGTCTCTAGGTTACACATCCTTTTGACCCTCTACCTCATCACGCCAACAGCCACACAGAACAAGCTTAAAGACAGCTAGAGTAGGAACTTGCCTCACACTGCTGAGCCGAGAATAACTTAGAGGTAACCTAGCTCATGGAGCAGACATCAAAATCTATATATGGCATGAGTTATTTTATGTTAGGCAGCCTCACCTGGCTTTACCCAACTTTCCATGTGTTCATCCTTGTTACGCAATCACACATGTAGACTTCTGTTTAGTACATGCCTTATTAGATTTTTTTTTCCACTCTTCTGAAAAGGTAACTGAAATAACCATGACTTTATTGAGCTCCCAAAGATGATAAAGAAATAGTGATAGTATACAACGTGAGGCTTTGTGAATGTTACAGATGTCTTCCAAAAAGGATTCCTGGTATGAATAAGGCCTTCTTAAAAATTCTTCCAGAGGCATAAATCAAGTACTTGAATACCTTAAAGTTGATGGTAAATTCCTAAAAAAGTTTCTCCCACTTGGTTAATTGTACTTAATAAAATATAAAACATAATTCTTTCATTCTGGAAGCAGAGTAAGAAGACAGAGTATAAAGTACTACATGTAACAATGATGTAATCTTAATCCTTATAATTGTTTTATTCCATGAGATCTTGCAAAGGAGAGTTTTTATTCTTTTCATAATATCATGATAAATAAATTATCTAATTTATATTGGAAGGATTTCTTCCTTACTAAAATTGATTAAGGCTCATTTTCAAAAAGGCTGAATGTCATTCGGTACTTACTAAATATTAAGTACATGCTCATTTACTAAAAGAGAAACTTCCATGACTTTGAAAAGATAACAACATATAATTCTGTATATATTGTATATTATAACTCAGTTTCTGTGGTTATTGATAATAATGCTATTAATTATACATTTAATATACCCATGGAAGAGTCACCTACTTCATAGCTAAGTTTCACATATTATTCAGTTCAGTATTCTGAAACTTTACAGAATGAAATGTATTTTAAAAAGTGATACAATGTTAGAAATGCAACTTGGGCAACTGTGATAAGAACTGCAATAATGTTACAGAGAGGGAATACACAGGGTAGAGGCATGGAGACACAACTACGAGAAAAAAACTGTAAAATCCAATTTCTAACCTCAAGACCAATAAAGCATCAAGATTCACGTAAGCTTTACATTTTCATCTTCCTGTTCCTAGTTTTGGAAGAGAAGGAAGGAAGGAAACTAGAATCTGTTTTGGTCACTACGCTGTGTATTCTTTTTACATCTCTCAGTCTTTGCAGTAAAAGATGCCGGCTCTAAGTATCCCCTTTCTGAGGATGGGGACACAGGCTGAGAGAAGTCAGGCAGTGGCTCACGAGTCATCAGTTCATCAGTGCTGGGCCAGGCTGTCTGATTCTTCCCACCAGGACAATCTGTCAGGGTTTTCCCCTCTTACAAATCAGAGGGTATCTCACCTGTAAGCAGGTAAGGTGTGCCAGGCCACAAAGACGCTGGCTCTTAAATGAGATGGAGGAGAAGCCCTGCAGTGGGGGTTCCACAGGGGCTACTGATGCTACCCGCCCCTCCACTCCCCAGCCTAGAACCTGGCCCTCACTTTATACAGATGATGCTTAAGAGGCTGGGGACATGAAGAAAATAAAGGTACAGGCTGAGCCTGCAGAGTGGCCATGCAGTCGGTCCTGACCCTCAGCGCTGGGCCCTTTCTATGCCCCCTGGTGGCTCAGATGGTACAGAATCCGCCTGCAACGCAGGAGACTTGGGTCTGATCCCTGGTTGGGAAGATCCCCTGGAGAAGGGAAAGGCTACCCAACTCCCGTTTTCTTGCCTGGAGAATTCCATGGACAGAAGAGCCTGGCAGGATACAGTTCATAGGATTGCAAAGAGTCGGACACAACTGAGCAAGTAAATACACACACACGCACACACTCTCCTGCATGATTAACATCTGTCGCCTGGCCAAAACAGGTTCTGGTTCAGAACCATTTGGGGAAAAAAAAAAGTACAGATAAAAAGTAGAAATATTATATAAGCATACTATATAATATTCACTACAAAGATAAACAGCATTAGTTGATGCATTAAGGGCCAAATTGTAAAAGAAACTTAATAAATTATCCCTATTCTAAAAAAATCTATCCAAGTGATTATTAAGCACAAGTAGCAAAAATAATTTAAACCTTTACAATAGTTCATCATCTTAAAACTTACCTTAGGCCATAGCAAGGCAGGGTGAAGAGCCTGAACAGGGCCAGGAAGACTCTGACAGGGAGCAGGGTGAACACATAGAGAAACGCATCCAGGCACAGAAAGATTCCAAAAACCATGAGCTGGATTTTAAAAGGAGAGAAGAATGTAAAAGACAAAATGCAAAATAAATATTTTTTAAAATGTTGCAGATGAATATTTCAAACAATCAAGGAATTTCTAAACTTGTTCGGAAATTCATCTCTCATAACTTAGCTATGGGAATAACAAGTTAACGGCTCTCCTTGTGTATATGAGCCATACTCTAATGAATTCCTTTTCAAAATGCAAGCTTGCAGTTCCTCTTCCGGAGCCCTTGGTTTACCACCTACACAAATCAATTATTTTAAAGACAAGTCACCCTCAACCACAACTATGCCACATCTGATGTAGCTCTCTGGGTACTTCCTCAAGCTGCAGAGATATTATAGAAAACCTTTCAGATAAAACGTAAACTCTAACTTTAATGTAAAGAGGTTATTCATTTTAATACAATTTTAGGTACACTTGAACTTGCTGGGCAAAGAAGTCATTATTCCTAACTGGAGGAGTAGCTGTTAATATCTGTATCGCTTCCCCTTTCTTGTGTACCAGCCACATCCTTCCTATTTCGGGTGACACTGTACACTTTTATCTGTTAAATTTAGGACTATATTTCATGCTCTCATCACTTCATGGCAAATAGAAGGGAAAAAGTGGAAGCAGTGGCAGATTTTATTTTCTTGGGCTGCAAAATCACTGCAGACGGTGAATACAGCCATGAAATTAAGAGAGGCTTGCTCCTTGGAAGGAAAGCTATGACAATCCTAGACAGTGTATTAAAAAGCAGAGACTCTGCTGAAAAAGGTCCATCTAGTCAAAGCTGTGGTTTTTCCAGTAGTTAAGTATGGATGTGAGAGATGGACCATAAAGAAGCCTGACTGTTAAAGAACTGATGCTTTTGAATTGTGGTGCTGGAGAAGACTCTTAGAGTCCCTTGGACAACAAGGAGATCAAACCAGTCAATCCTGAAGAAAATCAACCCTGAATATTCATTGGAAGGACTGAAGCTGAAGCTCCAATACTTTGGCCACCTGATGCAAAGAGTGGACTCATTGGAAAAGACCCTGACACTGAGGCAAAAGGAGAAGGGAGTGGCAGAGGATGAGATGTTTAGACAGCATCACTGACTCAACGGACTTGAATCTCAGCAAACTCTGGGAGACTGTGGAGGACAGAGGAGCCTGAAGTGTTTCAGTCCACAGGGTTGCAAAGAGTCGGAAACAACACTCCACAGATGGAAGGTAGAATCTTGTGATGCCTTAGCAAATAGCCACACCCAGGCTGTTAACCTGTACTATATTAAGAGGGATGACTTTCTGTACATTTGACGTGCAAACATGGTATGATGTACACACCCTCACAAACAACACTCCATGTATTCTTAGTCAATAAACTGTCTTACAGAAATGTACTAAGTAGCTAAAACCCACACTGTTACTGGAAGAACTGCATACCCTCCCCGCAATTCATATGCTGAAGCCCTGACCACACCCCTCCCTCCCCACACCCCTGCATGTGACTGTACTTGGGGAGGGGGCTCTTAAAGAGGGAATCAAGTTAAAACGCGGTCAGGAGGATGGCCCTCATCCGGCGTGACTGGTGTGTCCTTAGGGGACGTGAGGATGCAGACGCGCAGAGATGATGACAGGGCACGGCGCGGGCGGGGCACACAAGCGGGGCGAGGCCTCGGGAGACGTCGCCGTGAGGGCGCCCCGCTCCGCTCCAGGGTCTCCTCACCAGACCCACAGCATCTCTTACAGAAGCGGACTTTCTCTTAGACAACAGTCATCCCTCTTAGGCTTAGAGAAACTTGTTTTAGTATTGCTTCTCATCTATGGCAAGCAACAGTAGCAAATGTCCAAGGGCCTTCCCACTGCATTTTAAATCAGCCCAGGAAGCAAAAATCCCCCCACCCCTGAACGCTCAGCACCTAGGGACCACAGGAGCTATCACAACGACAGATCACAACGTGAAAATGGGAGGAAAGCCAGTGGCTGTGGTCAAAGACACATCAACTGGGGGCCAGGAAAGCACCCAGGTATGCCTTTCAGGGTTCAGAAATGTGGGTAAGTGACTTCGTTCCTGTACCTACTGCTCAGGTGTTACGCTTGTTCGCAAAGCACAGCATTCTTTTAAATCCTTTGCAAATGGCAATGAGAAAATGTCCTTAAAAGGCAATAGACAAGATGTAGTCCTGAGAACAGTCACCCTTGAGGGAGGCAGAGGAATCCCTGGGTGCCCTGCTGCTGCTCCAGGGCATCTGTTTAATCTGTCGGTGGCCCAGGTGTCTGGGTGGCTGTGCCCAGGGGGCCTCCCGTGTCCTCGGGCCTCCAGCACCGAGCGCTACCTGCTTCACCCCCGTCAGCTCCTGAGCAGCTGAGAGTCAGCCCTGCTAGGCACACCAGGAAGCCACGGTTTTGGCGGCTGGACCCCCTGCCCACAGCCGTGCCCACAGGGAGCTGGCCTGCACCCTGCGGCTGTCTGCCTCCAGGCCCCACAGGTTTGAAGCCGTGTGAGCGCAGCAAAAGATCTCAGGCCCAGTTTTTGCTAGGTATAGAAGGTAGCGTGCTTTGGCATCTTGATAAAATGTTGTAGACTGTTGTGGTTGCTTAGTCGCTCAGTCATATCTGACTCTTCGCGACCCTACGGGCAGTAGCCAGCCAGGCTCCTCTGTTCATGGGATTTCCCAGGCAACAATACTGGAGTGGGTTGCCATTTCCTTCTCCAGGGGATCTCCCCAACCCAGGGACTGAACCTGAGTCTTCTTCACTGCAGGCAGATTCTTTACCCTTGAGTCACCAGAGAAGCCCACCTTGATAAAACAGACAAGTATTATTATTTACTTTTCACTGGGATCAAATAACCACAAAGTAGTCACGCAGTCTTAAGCAATGCCTGATGAAATTGTCCCTAAAATGTACAAGCTGCAACTACAAAGCAGAGAGACTGGTGTCATTTGCCACCCTCTGTTTCCCTTCTGAGAAACAAAAGTCTCCTTTAAATGTCACTTGAAAGGTCAAAATGAATACAGTGGTGTGGCTAAAATCAAAGCAGCACGATGCTGCTGGAATCTGCCTCTTTAGACCGCGGCTGAACACTTGTCCAATCAGATGGTAGTCACGTCACCATGCACCCTGGGTCCCTGTCTCTCTCTCGCCCCTTCCCCATTTCTCTGCTGCTCCAGCTCCGTGCCACCCCCCCAACTTTACCCATCTTGTAGAAGGTGATAAATTATGTGTAAGTATGTGTAAGTTATAACTATCTTCTGCCTTAGCTGTCTCTCAGCTTTACAGGGTGGTGGACGGGGAAGCCTTATAAATACATCATCTCTCTGAACCAGCAATTATATGAATAACAAAATGCAAAGACGCCAAAGCATAATGAACATGCTTCAAGAAGAAATCCTACACTGCAGCTGCCGGCTTATACCTCTTTTCCAGCTGGTGGATTTTCCCAGGGATGGATGACAAAATGCTATACGAGGTTTTGTATGCAAACTTCCCAGGGCTGACTCAGGTTTTGATTTCTTCCTCCGTCTCTCTCTTAACTAAGCACTGATTGCATGCTCTAGAGTCCCCTGCCTTTCTGTCTTGCGGGAGATCTCGTGTGGCACTGTTTCAGAAGCCTTCGCAGGTACTGGGCAATAGGGCTGGGTGCTAGCCTGCGTCCATCCTCATCTCCACCTGGACCTCACTGCCACGCCCCCAAATCTGCAGCAAGGTTCGGGGGCTCACCTGGGGCCTGAGCAGCACAGGCAGGGCCAGCCCCCTGCAGGTCTGCAGAAGACGTGGCTTTGAGACTGAAGCACTATTTCTACCAACGACACCTGCCACTCAGCCTCAACCGTGCCACTGGATTTGCGCTTTATGTTAAAAAAAAAAGATTTACCATTAAGTTTTTAACATCTGAACTTCAATGTGAAAATCAGGATTCTGTAACACTGTTGGGCAACATCACCTGCTAGTGAAAAGTTCCACAACCAGCTCTTACCACACTCATTTTTAACCTACTGCTATTGCTCTTGATCATCTGAAAGATACCAACCTGAAAAGTAATAAATAAAATGCTGGCCCCTCTCCATGGAGAGCAGAGCAAGGTTTTTTCACTTTTTAAAAATGTTTCCTTTTTTGACCAAAACCTCCTGCCTTCCTTTTAATGCCACTTGGAATTTCAAAATAAATAAAACGTTATGGCTACAATTGAAAGCAGCACAGGGATTGGAAGGTGCCTCTCTGAGCTGCAGAAGCCACCGCTGGCAATTCTGTATCCATCTCCCCCACAGCCCCCAAGCAGCTCCTGGAGCCAGAGGCGCTGCTGTGGGGTGGGGGCCGGGAAGCAGGCCCTCCAGCAGGAGGAGGGGTTTCTTTCCACCCTGGTCTCAGCGTGTGAGGCTCGGGTCCACTCCTGCGTCTTGTTCAGTCCTACACACGGGATACGAGGTCACTGGGGAGGGGCCGCTTCCCCAGGGAATTCAAAGCTAGCCAGGAGGACCGCAGAGGGAGGGCTGCGTGCAGGATGTGCTCTGGGTGTGCTGGGGACAAGATAAGGGCTGTGCGCGAGCCGGGGTGGTGCCGGGGGCTGGGGAGTGGGCACCCAGGGGAGGCAGGAACAGTCAGCACGGCTCCCCCACGGGGAGAAAGATGGGCGTGAGCTGCTGCCGGGCACGGAAAGGAGGAAGCGCACGTCAAGCCAAGCCAAGAGCGCCTGTGTGCCCTCCGCCAGCTTCACAACGCCATCTCAGGACTGTCTCACTGACATAAAAGCCAAACAGCGCTGTAACTACATCTTCTTAACACACCCTCACACTACGAAGCAACGAAAAGGCTTTACGTGATATTTTCATTCAATTCCTTATTTTGAAAGGAAGTTTTTGACTTACTTTTCCTAAATGTTTATCACCTGTCTCTTTTACAGGGTCATGGACTGCCAGCCGTCCTGAGATGACCAAGTCCGACCTCCTAATCTCAGACGAAGACAGTGAAAGCCAAAGCAATGCCTTGACCGGCCACTGGCTCTCCCTGCGGACCTGAGATGAGAAGGT